ATTTTGATGTTGGTCATCAATTTGGGGGTCTTATATATGAAAACTCAGATTTTGAATCCAGAGTTCATCCTTCCCTAGCATGTTTGCGGTACTCCTCAGTTGTTAGGTTTCCTATGTGCATGGGGCTCTTGCTGCTCTCCTTTGTTCCACAGGTCAGTTTGTCCATCTCTTAGTTTTTGCCTTATGGACATACCATAACTATTCCCCATGCTTCAAATTTTTAGATTATTTCTAGGTTTTTCATATTCTTGGAAATCCTTTCATAAAAGCACTTGTTCGATTGAGCATCCCTGATCTGAAAATTCAAAATCTGAAGTGTTCCAAAATCCCAAACATTTTGAGTGTGGACATAATGCCACAAGTAGAAAATTCCACACCTGACCTCATGTGAACAGGTAGCAGTTCAAAATCAGCCACACTGAAAATACTGTGTAGGATTACTTTAAGCTGTGTGTATAAGGTTTATATGAAACAAATGAATTTCTTGTTTAACTTGATTCTACCCCCAAAATATCGCGTTATGTCTTTGTAAATGTTCCAAATTTTTAAAAAATCTAAGTCTAAAACACTTCTGGTCCTAAGTATTCTGGATAAGGAGCACTCAATCTGTGCCAAATTTTAAGGCCTCTACTAGTGATAAAGGATCCTCCAAAAAGGTTTGACTGATGGTCAAACATTGGGAGTGTGTGCCGAACTCACCTGGCGAGGAGTTGCTTCGAGTGCATCCCTTTAGTCCTTGGTTGAGTGAGACTTTTCTGCCAGTACCTCCACTACAGTGCTCTTGCAGCTGTGTCACAGCTGCTGGTATTGCTTGCTCAATGGCAATGCCCTATTTACCAGGATAGCCAGGAGTGAGAAGCAGCACCCCAGACCATCACTGTGCAACTCGGGGAGCTTACTGAGACTGCCTGTCCATCTCCCTCCTTCCCACCCACAGATTCCTGCCTAGGAAGACAACCCTGGCTCTGTTTTGACGTGAATGCCAGCCCTCAGCTGCTCCTGTGGGGTTAACAGTTTCCTGTATGAAATGATGACATGCAGTGGTGGCTGCTGGTTAGCTTTTTCATGTCTTTATTTGGCAGGTTCAAGATTGCAGTCCTGTGTCTGTCCCCACATTTCCTCTTCATTCTCTTCTCTAACTTGGTTTTGGTTTTGGTTTTAATTTTACTGGTGTACTGATATCTAAAAGTTGCAATACTGCTGAATGTGGTGGAATAGGTTTGTAATCCCAGCAAGTTGGGAGGCTGAGGCAGGAGGATTGCAAGCCCAAGGGCAACTTAATGAGACCCTGTCTCAAAACAAAAAATAATAAGAACTGGAAAAAAATAAAAAGGGTTGGGGATATAGCTGTGTGGTAAAGTATGCCTGGGTTCAATCTCCAGTACTTAAATATATATATCTATATGAGTCTCAGCACTGCTACTTATGACTAGGCTGTCCTAGTGGGTTTGGGTCCAGGACATGCATGCACCCCGTCCACCCTATACCATGTTTGCTATGAGTACTTATTAGGTCTGGAACTTCATAACTGGAGATCATGGTGAGCCAAAGTCACTAGCCCTCTGCCACATTGTCACCCTAGCCTAGCAAGCTGGAAACAATACCAGGAATCTGCTCCTCAGAGTAACCAGGCGCATCCTGAGAGACTTCAAGTGTGCATGTTTAGTGTGTATGAGTATATTGTTTGTGCGTGTGTGTGTTTATTCACGTGTAAATATAGTGTGTGAGTTTATGTATATGGATACATGGGAATATATATATGTGCTTGTATATTTGTGTGCACATATGTAGGTATGTCTGTGAGTATGAGTGTATATGGTTATGCATGTGTGTGTTTATGTGTGTGTGCATGAGTGAAAGTCTGTGTTTGCTTGTGGGAAAGTGTGTATTTATATGCACATGCAAAAGTGTATGAGAGGGCTGGGGCTGGGGCTCAGTGGTAGAGCATTTGCTTAGCATGTGCGAGGCCCTGGGTTAAATCCTCAGCACCACATTAAAATAATTAAATAAAATAAAGGTATTGTGTTCATCTACAACTAGAAAAAAAATATTAAAAAAGTATATGAGAGAGGGCTGGGGCTGTAGCTCGGCGGCAGAACCCTTGCCTAGCATGTGTGAGGCACTGGGTTTGATCCTTAGCAACACATAAAAAATAAATAAAGTCACGCTGTCCATCTACAACTTAAAAAATTTAAAAAAGGTATGTGAGAGAGATGGAAAAAAAGTATATTCTTTTTGGTGTGTTTATTTCCCTGTCTGTTTCTCCCTTCTGGGCACCAGGCAGATGACCTTGGTGTTCCTGGGCTTGTTTGCCCTCATAGGCCATGCCTGAGCCTTGCCTCCTGTGGCCTTCTCTGCAGGTTCTCCCATGGGCAGGTGGTCTCTGTGGATGAACTGCGCCCCTTCCAGGACCCAGACCTGAGCTTGCTGCAGGCTGGCTCTACGTGTCTGGCCAAGCACCAGGATGGCCTCTGGCACCCAGCTCGGATCCTTGGTGAGGCTGGTGTGGGGACTTCCCTGATAGGGTGCTTCTGAATAAAGCCCTTCTTAAAAAGTCTTTTCTCTGCTTCCTGTGGCCACTTTCTATCTCTTTGGACATTGAGACCCTGACTGGGCCCAAGAGGAGCAAGTCTGGCCTGGCCTCAGTTCTGCCTCACTTCCCCCTTCCTTTGTTGCTCCTTTCTGTGGCCTGCTCATGACAGCTGCTGACCTGCAGCCCATGTTTGTCTCCTCAGATGTAGATAATGGCTACTATACAGTCAAGTTTGACTCACTGCTGCTGAAAGAGGCTGTGGTGGAGGGAGATAGCATTCTGCCCCCGCTGCGCACGGAGGCTGCAGAGTCATCAGACTCAGACAGTGGTGATGCGGTTGACTCAAGCTATGCCAGAGGTACAACGGCAGCATGGTGCCCAGAGCCAGGATGGTGGGGGCCTGGAGCAAGGTTGGCAGCTTTCTCCCTGAGAAGCACCCTGCTAAGGGGACAACTGTAGTGAGTGGCCAAAGTGAGGTCAGCTCAGCCTGGGTAACCACAGCAGAGGTCCTGGGGTAGGGCCAGAGACCTGGCCTTTGGCTTTGAGGAGCATGTGCAACAGTTACAAGCTCTGAGATGCAAGGTCTTGGCCTTGCTGTGGGAGAGGACGGACTGTTGGGGCTGGAGCTGCTAAAGAGACAACAGGGAGTGATGGGTAGACGTGACGGACAGGAAAGGGTGGCTCTGTCAAATGCTTTTCGAGGCTGAGGACCTGTTGCCTGGTGGGTGGGGGTGGAAGGGAACCTGGCAGATAGAGGGTGTGTGTCCAGATACATTGGGTGGAGGTATCAGGAAAGGGAGCTGGTAGGCAATGTTCAAGTCTCCTGAGGGGCTCGGGAGGATGGTGACAGGGAGGTGTCCCTGGGAACCTATGGCATGAATTGGTGATTTCTGAACCCCTATCCTCAGCAACCAGTGATAGGCTGCAGTACAGTCAACTTACCTGCTTAAGGTGCCAGGAACACCCACAGCAGGTTTGTGAATCCTGGCAAGAGATGGGTATCCTGCTTGGGAGCTGAACTCTTGGGGAACACGGGCCAGAGCACAGGTCACCACTCACTGTCCTCTGGCCTAGCTGAGCCATTGCCCTCTGTCTCTTGCAGTGGTGGAATCAGGCACTGCAGACACTGGGACCTGCAGCTCTGCCTTTGCTGGCTGGGAAGTACACACACGTGGCATTGGCTCCAGACTCCTCGCCAAGATGGGATATGAGTTTGGCAAGGGTGAGTGTGTGCTACCTGGGGGCAAGGGTGCTGGAGAGCAGCTGAGGGTCAGTAGCTGCAGCACCAGCCCTACTTCTTCACAGGCTTAGGCAGACATGCTGAAGGCCGGGTGGAGCCTATTCATGCTGTGGTGTTGCCTCGAGGGAAATCGCTGGACCAGTGTGCAGAGATCCTGCAAAAGAGGACCAAGCGGAGCCATGCTGGTGCCAGCAGGCCCCCAAGGTGCCAGGGGAGTGGGAGTGGGCCTGGGGGCCGACCACCCCCTCGGAACGTGTTTGACTTCCTGAATGAAAAGCTGCAGAGCCAGGCTCCTGGGGCCCTGGAGGCTGGGGCGGGCCCCCCAGGAAGGAGGAGCCAGGACATGTACCATGCCAGCAAGAGCGCCAAGCAGGCCCTGAGCCTACGGCTCTTCCAGACTGAGGAGAAGATTGTGCGTACCCAGCGGGACATCCAGGGCATCCAGGAGGCCCTCACCCGGAATGCTGGCCGGTACGTGTGGGGCCCTGGGCGCTGGGTGGCCATCCCTATAGGACATATGCAAGAGGTCACCTGACCTGAGGGTGCCTGCTGGTTTGAAGAAAGCTAGATGTAAGAGGTCGGGCAGTGGCCATGACAGCAGTGGTGTCAATGGGCCAGGAAGCTATGCTGACAAGCAGGCCGTTCCTAGGCACAGCGTAGCAGCAGCCCAGCTGGAAGAGAAGCTGGCAGGAGCCCAGCGGCAGCTGGGGCAGCTCCGAGCTCAGGAGGCAGGCCTGCAGCGGGAACAGCGGAAGGCAGACACCCACAGGAAGATGACAGAGTTCTAGAGGCCTCGAATGCACTGTGGATGGGTCTTGGGACCCCAACTCCGGCTGCCTTGGCTGGAAAACCAGCTGTCACTCTGACACCTAGGATACCTCTCAAGAGGGGACAGCCCACTTCTAGGATTCGTATCAGCCTCACCAGCCTGGAGTATTTGGACACTGCCAAGTGAAGATGTCCTTCTGGAGGGTCAGTCATTTCTGGACACTTACTTGCCTGCAGAGCCCACCTGCCAGTGTCTTGGGGCGTATCCTTAGCAAGGACATTAAAATGATTTCGTCACAGTATCAGTGGAGACTCAGCTGGCTACGGGGTCTCTGGGGAGAGAGGGGTCTACACAGGTTCATGGCAACTCACAGGCTGGGCTTCAGGGGTCCTGAATGAGGCCACAGCCCATGCCAGGGTCAGAGGGCCCAGGAGAGTGGCCTTCTCCCTTCTTTTTCTGATTGAGGTGGGTAAAAACCCTGGGTGTCCTTTGGTGCCCTGTGCTTACTTCACTGGGTGGAGTTGGCCCTCAGGAGCACTGTTAGGCAGGTGGTCCTGGTCAAGTGGGTTTGGTCAGTGCAAATTTGGTGGCCACTGATTGTCTAGCTGATCTACTCTCCCCACTTCTTGTTGGCGAGTGTTCACTTCAGTGGGTGTGGTAGGGTGCAAAGCTGGGCTCTCAGAATATAGGGATGGCCACCCAGTGCCCAGGGTAGCACACTGAGTCACGACTAGACCAAGGGAGGGGCCCTAGCAGGTGGGTGACTCCTGGTGCAGCAGCAGCTGCAGCTCAGGGCTGAGGGCTGCTGGGGAGGTGCTCTGAGGCTGCAACAGGAAGTGAGGTGGGGAGCTCTACCAGGCCCACAAAGACCTTCCTGGCTGCCCCAGACAGGGCCGTGGAGGAGCCGCGTGGTGGCCTTGGTAAGTGCCTGCTCTGCCCTCCAGCATGGGCAATTCCCCAAGCCCCTCAGGGGCGCTCCTTGCATTTGGGAGGGCTTGGACTGGCCTGGTCAAAGCATTGGGAACTGGCTGTGTTCTAGTTAATCAGACTGGGCCCTCCCACATGCCCGTGCAAGAAGCCCGCTGCTGAGTCTGGGTAGACTGGCCTCAACCTCCAAGATTACCCCTTGGATCTCCCCTAACTCCTACAGATAGTTGGTGGGCCCACCTGTCACCCACCACCCATCCCCCAGGCAACTCTGCTGACATCAATCCAGCATAGGTGGCAGAGACCAGGGGGAGGAGAGTCAGAGCGGTGGGAGGACATTTCAGTGCCTGAAGCTGGCCTCTTCTGCCTCTTCTCCTACTCCACTTCAAGGTCCAAGCTGTCTACTATGATGGCTTAGGGGCATCACCTAAGACAAGGGGGCCACAGCTGGGCAGGGTGGGTAGGCGAGGTCTGTGGCCTGTGGCTCATAGGCCCAGGGGTGTAACTGCAGGGACTTCCCCCAGATCATGGGTTTGGGCTGCAGTGACCACAGCATGATCTTGGCCAGGTTACAATTGCCCTAGCCATGCTCTGCCATCACCGTGACCACCTGCAATTATGGTGAAAGTGCAGGCAGAGTACTTCTTTTCACCAGGAGTTCCAAGCTAGAGGTGGAAGGGTGGGTGCCCCTGTGTAAGGTCAGGTGTTTCCGGTATGCTGAGTCAGAACAGGGGGAGGAGCCCACCCACAGAGGGAGGGGCACAAGTGGGGCTGCCATTTGTGTGCCCCATCCTCAAGCCAGCCCCAGTTCCCCTCTCTTCTGCCCCCAGGCCCCTGCCTCACAGGATGGGGCAACCAGTGCCCTTGGCCCTGCCCACCCTCTGGGTCCTAGGGTGCTTCTCCCTGCTCCTCTGGCTGTGGGTGCTGTGCACAGCCTGCCACAGGTATGTCTGTTGTGCTGGGTTCCTTGTGGGCCCTCACCACCTCCTTGTGCAGACAGGAGTTACAGGCAGGCCCGTGCAGAGGCTCTGTGAGAACCTCTACATTGGTCTTGCATCAGCTGCTGACCACCCTTGTACCTACTGTGGCCCCTGGCCTAATGATGCTCTTGCCCCCAGGACACGGGTGCCGAGGCATCGGGCCAGGCTGCAGGGCAGCATGATGCCAGTGCAAGTGGTGAGTGCCAGGCCAGGGTGGGGCCAGGGTGGGGCCACAGGGTCCCTTCCAGACCTTTGCCCTCAGTCAGTGCTGAGACAGACTCGCTTCTGCTCCCTCAGCAGGTCCGGCACCAGGCTGCAGGAGCTGTACCGCGGCCCACACAGCAGCATCGTGAGCCTCCAGGAGGGTTAATGGGGTGGGTCTGGCCATAGGGTGTCTCCCCAGTTCTGGGGCCAGGCCAGCTCCCCACCCCTAAGTGACCTCTACTCTAACCCCACCCCTAGCCCCACGGCCTGCCAGCATGGATCTCCTGCGCCCACACTGGCTGGAAGTGCCCAGGAGCAGCACCAGGCCACAGGCAGCCCCCTCCATCTTCCCACCACAGCAGTTGCCTAAGGCCTCTCCTGTCTCCCCTTCACCCTTCATTGGCCCTGAGGACACTTATTCCAACATAGGGCTGGCTGCAATCCCCAGAGCCAGTTTGGCTTCGAGCCCTGTGGTGTGGGCAGGGACACGGCTGACCATCGGCTGTGCCAGGCCTGGGCTTGGGGCCAGACCTCTGGTGGCTGAATATTCCTGCATCCAGAAGCTCAAGGGGACAGGTCAGGGTCCCCAAGAACTGCAGCAGGGGACTGCTGAGAGGATCCCAACTGCTCAGGTAAAGTGGGCCTGGGCTGTGCACAGCAGGTGGGGCTGGCAGATTCTTGGCAGAGAGGCTGGTGTTTACCGCTCCTTGGGTCCCTCCTCTCTCCAGGTGGACATCCTGTACTCCAGGGTCTGCAAGTCCGAAAGCAGGGACCCAGGACTCATCAAAAACCAGCCAGACTTCAAGGGTGGGGGATCGATTCTGGCCCCAAGGAATGACATGACCTGTGAGACCCTCCCCCTCAGGGACCTGAGCATGGACAGCAGGCCCCTGGAAAATGTGTATGAGAGCATCCAGGAGATGGGGCCCTGAGCAGGAGTCACCCCTCCTGTCTACCTGGTAACACAGTGGATATGTGCAGGTGCCAGGCCCCCGTTTCTGCCTCTGGAGGGTTTGGAGACCCCTGAACACCCAGTATTTACTATGTTCCTTTCTCCAGAGTGAGCTCTGCCCCTGCAGCTGACAGCACAAATCCCAGATCCCAAGGCTTCTAGCCTGTGAGGTTCTATTCCACCGTCCACATGTCCTCTCCCTGCTCCAGAGAAGGCCTACATCCTAATAAAGTTCCATCAAACAAGGATGGACATGCATGCTTCGCAGCCTGCTGTTCTTGAAAGCGGGGAGGGTTGCGGTGAGGACTTCTGGAAGGATCCATGGCTCCTTTTGGTCTTGCAGGTGGTCTCACCCAGATGCCCAAGCTCTGGTACCTGAGGCTGTTCTGGTTTCCAAAACCATTGGCGGGCAGGGGGAAGGCAAACCGTCTCGCTGTGATTTCCAGTCCTGGGGACAGGGAAGCCTGCTGGGCGGCTGCCAGGGTGGGACTTGGACCCTGGGCTCCGCCACCAACCCCTAGAGTTACATAAGTCGGGGGAGATGGGGAGTTTGCGTTAAAGAATAACCTGCTCCAAGGAGACAGGGTCCCTTTCTGTCTCTGGCAGCTCTTCCAACACACCAGTGGGGAAGCGGCCCTCCCAGGCGGCGGAGCGCTAGAGCGCCCGCCCGGAGCTGGACAGGCTAGGGTCCGTCGGGCGCCGGGAGGCCACCTCTCCTGGCCAGCGCGGGAGCGCGGGCTAGAGGCGGGCAAGATCCCAACGCGGGCCAGTCGGAGGCTGAACGCCGAGC